ATCAAACTGGTTAACATAGCCTTCATGGCATTTTCTTAGTTACTGTGTTAAGACATTTATATTCTACATTTAGTAAGTTTCACATGTACCCTTCATTGTGGAAAGATTGAAGAAGAAAGGATAAAAAAGGAAGTATTTTCCTTCTGCCCTACTATGCAGAGATTACCAATGTTTATTAATTTTGTTTATTTCTAGTTTTTTTCTGCATATTCTTATATAATTCAGAAATAATCACTTAGCTAATTAAAATTAGATATTAAATAGATATGTTCTGAATATTCTTGCTTTTTTTCAAGATAAAATTCAAACGAACAGTTAAAACTAATTTGCTAAAACTTCAAGTAAATATAAGATTATTGAAAAAAAGTCAGAGATACTTTTTATAAATGAATAGATAAAGAAAATTAATTTTATTTTTGGAGGTATAAATTTTAATTAAACTTTTATCTTTGTGCCTTTGCTCATGCTATCTTCTCTTCTTGGAATGACTTTCCCCTCCTTTACTTGGCTAAGTCTGCTTTTCCTTAAGACTCTAAGGCCAGGAAATTTATAGAACTTCATATTGCTATGACCATCACTTGATCATAGATACTCTTTCTATAGGAAGTTTATATTTGAAATTATCCTAGTAATTGTAACTTGGGATATGACATATTTTCCTAAGTTTGTCTTTTCTTTTAGATCTGAGCAAACAGGTCAAGTGTCCCTTAGCTGAAATCTCAAACTTCTGAACTCCCTGTGCCCTATAATGTGATTGAACACTTTTGTGTCTGTCTCCTTCCTTTTATATTTATTTATTTATTTATTTATTTATTTTTGAGACAGTGCCTCAAGCTGTCCCCCTGGGTAGAGTGCTGAATTGCACAGCTCACAGCAACCTCCATTTCCTGGGCTTAAGAAGTCTCCTGCCTCTGCCTCCCAAGTAGCTGGGACCACAGGTGCCCGCCACAATGCCTGGCTATTTTTTTTTTTTTGGTTTGAGCTGTTATTGTTGTTTGGAGGGCCCGGGCTGGATTCAAACCTGCCACCTTAGGTGTATGTGGCTGGTGCCTTAGCCACTTGAGCCACAGGCACTGAGCCTATTCATTTATTTTTTGGGACCGAATGTCACTTTGTTGTCCTTGGTAGAGTGCTATGGCATCATAGCTCACAGCAACCTCAAACTCTTGGGCTCACGTGTTCCTTTTGCCTTAGCCTCCCAAGGACTACAGGTGCCCACCACAATGGGAGTCTTGCTCTGGCTCAGGTTGGTCTTGAACTCATGAGCTCAGGTGATCCACCTGCTTTGGCCTTCCATGTTTCCTTTCTTTTAAAGCTCCCAACTTCCTTCTGATGAATTTTTCGAGAGGCAAGGCGAAGGTGGCAGAGAAGGAGGAGACTGCAGTTTGACTCTAAGGTACATAGAGGCCTGGTAAAGGTGGAAGTTAACAGGGAGGGCCTATCTATGTGCTCAGCAAATACTGAAAGAGCTAAGTGATAGCTTTGGAAAACTTCAGAGAATGGCTCTGAGGACTGATGTTGAACTTGGTAGAATTCTGAATGTAAGGCTATTATGCTTGGACCAACGAAGCTAGCTATACCAGTAAATAGAAGAGCAGCATGAAGCTGATGCTACTTTCCTACTTTGAAGATTTGATGGTCTCTAACTGAGGAAGTATCTGAGAATTTACATTTTAGTTCTAATGTGCCGTCAACACTATCGTTAGTACGACTGACTGACCATCTGTCAAAATACTGCCACTTGTGTCTTTATAATACTGAGCAGCTTACACGTGTTTGAAAAATAGGGAAAAGATGTCAGTATTACAGCTTCTATTACATGGAAGTTGTTGATTCATATGCGTATTTCTTGGTTTTGGAGAGCTGGGATAGTGGAGTAGAATCTTAACTTTCACCTGTGGAGGGAAAAAACCCCTGAACTTTGCTGGGAAGGCAGCTGGAGCCTTTTAGCAGTTATTTTAAGAAAATCAGCAATGAGTACCTGTGTTAGGACTTCATCCCCAAGAGGTGGACCCTTAGCCTTACCTGTGCATATTATATAATTTGTTGTCTTTATTATTATTTTTTAACTCTCAGCTCCAATTTCTAGACTCTTGTGCTTATTTTTTAGAATTTGATTTCTTGAACTCATTTTATTTGTATTAGAGGCACTTTAAAGCCTTTCCTTTATTCATTGCTTTTGTCCTTTATTCATTGCTTTTATCCTCTTCCTTTCTTTCTTGCCTTCCTGAGATAATCTCTCCCACTTTCCCTTTTTGTGCATTTAACGTTAGGTTTATAAGATCAGGAAAACTTTTATTTTTTTGGGCCAGGGCTGGGTTTGAATCTGCCACCTCCCGTATATGGGACGGATGCTCTACCCTTTTGAGCCACAGGTGCTGCCCTGAGATCAGGAAAACTTTGATTTGGCCTTTTGGGGCTTTAAAAACTCTTCCATTAGAAGTATAGATTAAGTTTAAGAGTTCTTGTATTTTGGTCAGTGCTGTGGCTCAGTGAGTCAGGTGCCGGCCCCATATACCCAGGGTGGCAGGTTCAAACCCACCCCCTACCAAACTGCAACAAAAAAACAGCTGGGTGTCGTGGCGGGCACCCTTAGTCCCAGCTGCTCGGGAGGCTGAGGCAAGAGAATTGCCTAAGCCCAGAGGTTGCTGCGAGTTGTGACTCCACGGCACTCCAATAAGGGCAACAAAGTGAGACTCTGTCTCTAAAAAAAAAAAATTAAAAAAAAAAGAGTTCTTATATTTTAATACTGGGAATATTTCACTATATTTTCTTTTCTTTTTTTTTGAGAAGAGTCTCACTTTTTCATGGCATTATAGCACACAGCAACCTCAAAATCTTGGGCTCAAGTGATCTTTTTGCCTCAGTTTTTCATTTTTAGTAGGATAAGGTCTCCCTGTTGCTCATGCTAGTTTCAAACTCCTGAGATCAGGCAATCTACCTGCCTTGGCCTCCCAGAGTGCTAGGATTATAGGTGTGAGCCACTGTACCTGGCCTATGTCACTATATTTTCTTTCCTCTTTTTTTTTTAATGGCATTATATTTTCAAAGCAAAATTAGCAGCATTAAAGAGATATTTTATTACAGCAAATATATAAAGTAAAATGTATTGGTTAATAGTATGAAAGCATGCACATATGTTTAACATAATTTAAAGCACATGTATGCATATTTATATAAAATGTCACATTTATGAATATGACTATATATAATGCTAATTTTGTTTTCCTTCAGGATGATCAGGATGGAAGTCAAGGTCTAGGCAAGAGAAAGAGAGTAAAACTAAGCAGTAGCACCAAAGGTATTTATCTGTTTTTTTCCTAAATAAAATGCTTTTAACAGTACCAGATCACTAATGATACTTGATGGGCTAGCCATATTGACATCAAAACTGAAGAGAGGGCTCGGCGCCTATAGCTCAACCGGCTAAGGTGCCAGCCACGTACACCTAAGGTGGCGGGTTCGAATCCCCAGCCCGGACCCGCCAAACAACAATGACGGCTGCAACCAAAAATGGCCAGGCGTTGTGGCGGGCGCCCGTAGTCCCAGCTACTTGGGAGGCTGAGGCAGGAGACTTGCTTGAGCCCAGGAGTTGGAGGTTGCTGTGAGCTGTAATGCCACGGCACTCTACCCAGGGGGATAGCTTGAGGCTCTGTCTCAAAAAAAAAAAAAAAAAACTGAAGAGAGAATTATGTTATTAGATTTATCTAATGATGGAGAAAGTATTGTTAAGAGGTTGGTTGTGAGTATGTCCAAAAAGAAGTAAGATATTTACTATTGAGATTTTGTTCATTGTTTTCATTATGGAATGTCCTTTTTCATAAGTCTTCCCAAAAGGAGAAAGTAGGTATGTCTATAGTGAGGGAATAGATTGGTAATAATAATGATTAATATTTATTGAACCTTTTTTCTGTTCTAAATATTTCACATACATTCTTTTTTTTTTTGAAACAGTCTCACTATGTCACCTTTGGTAGAGTGCCATGGCGTCACAGCTCATAGCAACCTCAAACTCTTGGACTCAAGCAATTCTCTTGCCTTAGCCTCCTAAGTAGCTGGGACTACAGGCACCTATCACAGTGCCCGGCTATTTCTTGTTGCAGTTGTCATTGTTAGTTAGCTAGCCTGGGTTGAGTTTGAACCCATCACCTTCGGTGTATGTGGCTGGCACCATAACCACTGTGGTATGGGTGCTGAACCTTTTTTTTGGAGACAGAATCTCACTATGTTGCCCTCGGTAGAGTGCTGTGGTGTCACAGCTCACAGCAACCTCAAACTCTTGGGCTTGAGTTATTCTCTTGCCACAGCCTCCGGAGTAGCTGCAATCACAAGCACCTGCCACAACGCCCTGCTATTTTATTATTTCTTTATGGTTGTAGTCGTCATTGTTGTATGGCAGGCCCAGTCTGGATTTGAACCTGCCAGCTTTGGTGTATGTGGCTGTCACCCTAGCCACTGAGCTACAGGTGCCAAGCCTCACGTGCATTCATTCATTGAATACTCCAAGTAGTTGTATGAAGCAGATTTTATTATTATTATTACCATTTTATGGATAGGGAAATGGAGGCATGTTAGAGATCATAGATAATGAAGTTAGATTCTCAATTCAAATCCCAGACCCTAAGCTTTTAACCACTATTATCTTGACCCTCACTAAAAGGGTTTTTTTTAGATTACTTGTGCTTTGGCTTTTTGTCATGGATTTCCAAAAAAATATTTTTTTGAGGCAGAGTCTCACTTGGTCACCCTTGGTAGAGTGCTCAACCTACTGGTCTTAAGTAATCTTCCTGCCTCAGCCTTCAGAGTAGCTGGGACTATAGGCACTGGCCACAATGCCTGGCTATTTTTTAGAGACAGGTTCTTGCTTTTGTTCAGGCTGGTCTTGAACTCCTGAGATCAAGCAATCCAACTGTCTCGACTTCCCAGAGTGCTAGGATTACAGGCATGAGTCACGGCATCTGGCCTGATTTCCAAATTTTAATGTGGTTCTTTTTCTGGGTTAGCGTGGTATGTTAGAGTGTCCAGGGGTTAAAATATTATATTGACTGATGGGACCACACCAATGGTGCATCTTACAAGGGTACATGTGAAATGTAGAATATAAATGTCTTAACACAACAACTAAGAAAATGCCATGAAGGCCATGTTAACCAGTTTGATGAAAATATTTCAAATTATATATAAAACCAGCACACTGTACCCCCTGACTGCATTAATGTACACAGCGACGATTTAATTAAAAAATTACATTGATGAAAAGAAAATTCTGCTGCTGCTGATTTACTGTATCTTATGGAATATCTAGAATTCCCTGGAAAGATAGAGCATGCAGGTTCCTTTTCTATGTTTGTTCCTGTTGCACCGCTGCACTTTGCTTGTGGGCTGCTAGCACAGGTTATGAAATTTGATCTGCATTCTAGGATGCACACCTGCACACATGCACACATGTTGTCTGTCTTCCTGGCTCAGCAGAGAGCCTTTGATGCCTGAAGAAATTTAGAAACCCGTATGACTTACTGGCTTTTTACCTTCCATAGCTGTATGTGTATTTGCCTGAGTCCTGTGACACTGAGTTGGAGCAGATTGTTAGGCACATACTTGTGTTTAAGCTTTAGGGACGCCCAGAAAATACCTGTCAGGGTGTAAGAGGTCATTGTTTTCTTTCAGCCTGGTCATATACACTGAAGATACTTTTTATATAGATTTAAGTTTTATACCTGAATTTTTTCCTACCTGTGAGTTTGGATTGAGTGCCTTCTCTTCCTTCTTCTAGTAGTAAGAGGTAGACAGTTAAGACTTGATCACTTATCATTTTTGCATTAAGTTTATATGTGGAAGAAATAACTTTTTGAATTAGGACTCTGGGTATCTTCACAAGTGGCTTGCTTTGAAGATACCTAAGGGTCAGGGAGTGGTTTAGTTTTTGCAAGAATTTGTTTCAACAGTTTGAAAGGGAGCTGAAAATAAAATATGTAATGATGGATAAGAAGCCAGGCAGTATTTTAAATTCATCACTGCTTATTCTCAAAACCTAAATTTTAAGGATTGAAGAAACTGAGACCTAGAGGACTATAGCTGTATGACTAAGATTATTAAACTAATGAGGGGCAGAGCTTGAACTCTACTAACAAAAGCCTTTGTTTCAGTCAGGCGTTTACACGAGGTGATTCTTCAAAAATCTCTTTTTACAATTTGACTTAAGGGGCCGGACGTGGTGGCTCATGCCTATAATCCTAGCACTCTGGGAGGCCGAGGCGGGTGGATTGCCTGAGCTCAGGAGTTTGAGACTAGACTGAGTAAGAGTGAGACCCCTGTTTCTAAATAAAAACAGTTGGGTATTGTGATGGGCATTTGTAGTCCCAGCTACTTGGAAAGTTGAGGCAAGAGGATCACTTGTGCGCAAGAGTTTGAGGTTACTGTGAGCTATGATGCCACATCACTTTACCAGGGCATCAAAATGAGACTCTGTCTCAATTAAAAAAAAAAAAATACTCGTTAAGATTTTTTATTTTGGTGGTCTGAAGTTTTCAGTCATCCTTATATTAAGTGAATTGTCAGAATTAAGTATAGCAATATGCTGTGGATTATATTCTAATTTTTAATTATAATTCTTACATTTCTACTACTTCTTGTTCTTAAATCTGTCAGTGGGTTCCTTTAGTGTTTTTTCTCCCTTAATTATTAATGCAAAAAACTAGGTTAAATTTATCTAAGAAGACTTAATTCAAGCCTTGGTAAACTCAGTATGTTTTATAAAAAAATAAAGAGACTGATGACATATGGTACTTAACTCTTTTAGACCCACTATCTGAGGAGATATGGTATGAACATACTATTCAGTAATAGGCAGCGCCTGTGGCTCAGTGAGTAGGACGCCAGCCCCATATACCGAGGGTGGTGGGTTCGAACACAGCCCTGGCCAAATTGCAATAACAACAAAAAAAATAGCCGGGCGTTGTGGTGAGCACCTGTAGTCCCAGCTACTTGGGAGGCCAAGACAAGAGGATCACTTGAACCTAAGAGTTTGAGATTGCTGTGAGCTGTGATGCCATAGCACACAACCCCAGAGTGACTGAGACTCTGTCTCAAAAGAAAAAAGAAAAACTGTGCAACTGGGGTAGAGTTAATTGAAAAAACTCTAGAAGTTTACCTGGTAAGATGCCTTGAACTGTGATGTTGTTTCTGACTATTTTGACCTGTGTTTTTTTCAGATCTATCATCTAAATCTAGCCTTTGCTTAAGTGGTGTCCATTCATAGTTGACACTTGCTATGTCTGTTTGATGTCCTTGAATACAGCTGAGGATTTAGAGCAGTAGCTCAAGATGATTTCCTCTGACAAGGATTAATAGAACTTTCTAATTCCTTTTCAGGCAAAACAGAGACAATGAGAGAAAAATAGCTAAAATATTCAGAATGTCTATAGTTTATCATATACCTATTGATACCTTATGTTGACTAAGTGTGGCAAGGATGCAGAGCTTTGCAAGAGACAGACTAACCCTCAAAGAGTGTCACTTGGCCTTAGAAATAGGATTTCTAGAAGATCATGCTCTGTTCCGTATGCAGAAGGGACTCTAACCTTACAAATGCAAAAATGTAACCTAATCGTATGTACCCTCATATTTATTTGGGGAAAAAAAAAGGGATATTCATTTATCCTTTCCTCTTTTTATGGAGATGGCATCTTAAACCCCACAGAAGTAAGCAGATGTAAAACTCTTTCTTTTTTCTTGTGTATTCTTACCAGAAAAAAGTAAACACTTCTAGAATAAGCAATGTATTAGTAATTTTCTCAGGTGAAGTTAATATCTCATTTATGAAGGATAATTTTGAAGAAATGGACAAATTACTAAATCTGATAAGGATTTCTGTCCTTTTTTCTAGAAATTAAATATTTAGATAACTTTGGACTTTTATTATGTCCTTGAGTACTTATTTTTAGCTTAAAATTATTATTACTGTTTTAAATTAAGTATCATAAATATTTCTCTACAATTTTTGAATCTTAGCAGTTATTTTAGGTAAATGGCTTATGGTTAAGGACAAATACTTATTTTTCTAATAACTGCTTTATATTAAAATATTATAGAAACCTAACTTCTTATCAATATTATTGCATTATTGAAAGCAATTTCTTTAATTTTTAGATATATTGTTTTTTGTGTTTGATAGGTTATTAATTATAGTAGTTTAAATGAGATGAGCAACTTAAGTCATTGTGTGACAAATTCTCATTTTCTTATGCAGATCAGTCCATAATGGATGTTTTAAAACATAAAAGCTTCCTAGAAGAACTGTTGTTTTGGACTATCAAGTATGAATTCCCCCAGAAGATGGTAACTTTCTTACTCAACATGCTTCCAGATCAAGAGTATAAGGTGTCTATGTTTTTTCTATATTTTCTCCTTGCTTTCTGTCTTTGCTTCTTCACTACTAAAATTTTTCTGATGTATTTCTTGGCTGAGGATTGATGTAACACTATGAATGAACATGTGCTGCTTCTACTGTTAATGCAGTCTTCCCCAAAGCATGGTAATTAGCATTGTGGCGGAACAGCAATACTCAGCAGAGTACCTGAGGAAATTCTACTTGAAATGTAGTTAGAAGGGATGCTAAGGACAAACATTAAAAATACAAGCGTAGGTGGTGCCTGTTGCTCAGTGGGTAGGGCGTCAGCCACATACACTGAGGCTGGTGGGTTTGAACCCACCCCGGGCCAGCTAAAATCAACAGTGACAACTGCAACATAAAAATGTCTGGGTGTTGTGGCAGGTGCCTGTAGTCCCGGCTACTTGGGAGACTGAGGTAAGAGAATCACTTAAGCCCAGGAGTTTGAGGTTGCTGTGAGCTGTGACCCCACAGTACTCTACCAAGGGCAACATAGTGAGACTGTCAAAAAAAAAAAAAAAAATACAAGTGCAGACATAAATAATGTAGTTAGAAATTGTTCTGCGTCCTCTGAACATGAGGTAAAATGTACTGTCAGAATGTTTAATGGGGTCAGCTGCATTTATTTGCTTGTTTGCTTTTTAAAAATTCATTTAAATATAACTATACTTTGGCTCGGTGCCTATAGCTCAACCGGCTAAGGCGCCAGCCACATACACCTAAGGTGGCGGGTTCGAATCCAGCCCGGACCCGCCAAACAACAATGACGGCTGCAACCAAAAAATAGCCGGGCGTTGTGGCGGGCGCCTGTGGTCCCAGCTACTTGGGAGGCAGAGGCAGGAGACTCGCTTGAGCCCAGGAGTTGGAGGTTGCAGTGAGCTGTAATGCCATGGCACTCTACCCAGGGGGATAGCTTGAGGCTCTGTCTCAAAAAAAACCCAAAAAACAAAAAAACTATACTTTGAAAAGTATACTTATATTGGTTAATAGAATGTAATTTAAGTTTAACTTAGCCTGCACAATTTGTACCAAAAACTTGGTACATGGTTTAAAATTAAAAAACAGATTTGCAGTCTGGTTTATTTATTATTTTAGGGACTTAGTCTCACTCTGTGACCCATCCTGGAGTACAATGCTGCAATGGTAGCTTACTGCAGTCTTAAATTCCAGAGCTTGAGTGATCTTTCTGCCTGAGTCTCCCAATTTGCTAGGACTGCAAGCATATACCACCATACCTGGCTTATTTTTAAATTGTTGTTTTGTAGAGTTGCCCGGGCTGGCCTTTTTATGTTGCCCGGGCTGGCCTTGAACTCCTGGTCTCAAGTGATGCTCATGCCTTGCCCTCCCAAAGTGTTGGGATTATAGGTGTGAGTCACTGTGCCAACCTGGTTTATTTTTATCTACAAGTGTATGAAAAAGCCTTCATCAAATAGTGCTAAAGAAGGCAGCAAGCACCTTCAGAAATTTACCTTTGGTTTGCTTCAGGAAAATTACACCTGCTGTACTGTCTATGTTTATAAAATTGGCCCAAGAAAACACTGTAATGTTTCGTTGCCAACTTAAAAAGTATAGTAACTAATGAATTTGGAAGGGTGTATGTGGGTAGAAGCCTATGTATATGTGTGTATTTGTAAAAGTTATCTGATTTAGTTAATATTGCATGGAGATTGTAAATCTACACAAACCAAGATTCAGATAATTTCTTCAATCTGAGTTGACACTATTAGCTCCCTTTGTCTGCTGAGACCAACAAGGAAACTCAGCACTGGTTGTAAGTTTTTCAGATTAATGCATAGAAGAAGAATAAGTTTCTTCCTCTATTGTTCAGCCTAGTAGTGACTGTACACTTATGGGCAAGATATTCCTTCCATTGTCAACATTCCTGGGGACATGCAATGAAGCCTACTTGGGTTTTAATTTGTATCAGCACTAATGCAAAATGGTCTTCAGTTAATGACCACATGACTTTAGAAGTGACTCTAAGAAGTAAGGTAACCCTTTTTGAAAGACTGGAGCAAAATATCTAGCCATAGTTATAAGGAACTTTATAAAAAAAATGCAGCCCTGGGTGGCGCCTGTGGCTCAGCCGGTAGAGTGCCGGCCCCATATGCTGAGGGTGGCGGTTTCAAACCCAGCCCCGGCCAAACTACAACAAAAACAACAAAAATAGCCAGGCGCCTGTCGTCCCAGCTACTTGCGAGGCTGAGGTAAAAGAATTGCCTAAGCCCAGGAGTTGGAGGTTTCTGTGAGCTGTGATGCCACCGCACTCTACTGAGGGCGATAAAGTGAGACTCTGTCTCTTAAAAAAAAAAAATGCAGCCCATTGTGAATTATACTTCAATAAAAAAATAAGAAGCAGTCTGAAAAAAGGAGGAAACAATACAACTTAAAATATCTTGAAAACCAATATTAATATAATACAAGTTCAAAAGATTACAACTGAATTTAAATTGTGGGATTAGGCAGGTGAAAAACAAAGGGTGAGTAGCTGCCGGCCACACTCATTAAAGAAAGAACAGTTATTAGCCCATGTAGGTAGCTAAAGTATTTAGTCCCAGAGGATTTGAACCCACCATATGGTTATGGTAAAGTGACACCAGATGGTTATGGTGAAGTGTGAAAAGAAGATAAACCATGCTGTAGTTCTTATGGTATAGGTTAAAAGTGACGCTGGAATAGTGCCATTGTTTTGTGTGTCTTTATATCTGCTACAAAAGCAACAGAAGAAGTGTATGTGTTAGAAAGGAAAGAAGAGGAAATAGAAGTAGTACTGCAGAGGCTTTAGTCAGCTTAATGGTCAGCTTTCAAGTTAGGTAGGAGAAGGAATTTGTTTTGAAGTAATCACATCAACTCATTTTGTTATATTAAATCCTTTGTGGTGATTTGTAGCTGGGACTTAGGATTTTATTGTTAAAGAAGGTAGCATAAAACAAAGACATATACTTTGATCTTAGTAAATTGATATATTTATAAGCAAAATATAGTTTTGTATTCTTAAACTACAGTATTTGTAATTGGTTTAAATCTTTAATAATTTAAAATGCCTATTAAAAATTTTTTAAATTATCAAATATCTTTCCAGTATTCCGAAAAGGGGAAAGACTATCCTCATTATTGAGAATAACTTTACAGTTACTTTGGACATTATCACAAACTAGAAATAGCCTAAAAATATTAATATATTGAAAAATGTCTGAAATTCAAAGTTAAACTAATGTGTGTTTTTCCTCCCATTTAAACATTTCTACAGGTTGCTTTTACAAAAACTTTTGTTCAGCATTATGCTTTCATAATGAAAACACTGAAGAAAAGTCATGAATCAGACACAATGTCTAACAGAATTGTGCATATTAGTGTTCAGTTGTTCAGCAATGAGGAGCTAGCCAGACAGGTAACAGAAGAATGTCAGCTGCTGGATATTATGGTCACTGTGCTATTGTACATGATGGAAAGTTGCCTTATTAAAAGTGAGCTACAAGGTAACTCATAGTTATATTCACTAGTTCTATTAATATACTTTGTATAACAAGCTGTATAAAAGGTGTGTGCGTAAAAAAACTGTACTGTAAAACTAATATATATTTTGTTAAAGAAATTTTTGAAATTTCTAGTGAAGTTTAAGGTAAAAGTTAAAATCACTTATGTAGGGCATTCCAAAAGGTTTCATACATGGGAAAATTAACACATATAGCAATAGATGTCTTGGACCATATTGGCCATGGGTGGGAGATAATACTTTGTGTGTGTGTGTATAGAAAGAATTGGCCAATATGGGGATAGGGGAGAGGGAGGGGACGGGAGGGGAGGGTAGAGGGTGGGTGGAGAGAGAGTGATTGGTGGAATCCCGCCTATGGTTCATCCTATAAGGGCACATGTGAATCTCTTTAAATGTAGAATATAAATGTCTTAACACAGTAACTAAGAAAAGGACACTGGTTGGATGAAAGTATTTCAAATTGTATATAGAAACAGTACCCCATGATAGTATTAGTGTACACTGCTGTGATTTAATTAAAAAAAAAAAAGAGTTGGCCAACACATAGAGAGTATTTTGTGAGTATTTTGTAAATAAAGGTACTTCTAGCTTGAATCTCCCATTTTACCTATCTGTGGTGACTTTTGGGACACCCTATAGTTTTGTCATTCACAGATAACTGTTAATACTTCACTGTATTTTTCCATCTTTTTTGTGTGATATGACTGTACATATACATATATCTGTATAGATGTGTATCTAAACACATACTTTAAGAAATTTTACAGTATACATGACTCTACCACAGTTTAGCCATTTCCTTGTTAGGCATGTTCTTTTTTTTTTTTTTTTTTGAGACAGAGTCTCAAGCTGTTGCCCTGGGTAGA